CGTTCCCAATTTCCAGCAATTGATGCGAGAATATCTCAGCTGATGGATTGTTTTGCAGCTAGACACGCATATTTGTAGTTAATTTTAACGTCTTTACGTGTCACCACAAAGTAGAGAATTTCAGGCAAGCATTTATTTCGTCCACTGGTGTCGATCGAGAAATTACAGGTAATGTTTGCCCCTGCAAGCAATATTAATGTGTTTCCAAATGGGCTGATGTTTCCACGCAAATCTTACAATGATCGATCAAGAGCCTCGAGCGATTTTTTGTGCGCCATTGTGCATTCATCCCAAACAATAAGTTTGTATTTCTGCAATACTTTTCCCATGCCTGATCCTTTGGAAATGTTGCACGTGGGATTTTCAATGAATTGCATGTTCAGTGGCAATTGATAGCCATCATCAGGCAAACACATGATTTACGCACATATACGCACCACTGAACTGCAGCACCAACAAAATTGGATAGAATATTATTAATATATATAAAAACACTTGACGTAAAAAATACAATAAATCAAGTTATATAAATTAAGAATAAAATTCTTTTGGTGTTTTTACATCAACGTGTCAGTCGTTGGTTTGTGATTTGTTTTTTGTTTCGTTCCCACGGACAAGTTGGAATATTCATACTTATGCATATATAAAATTGTGTATGAGTCTCATAATGTAGATGTAGTAAAGTAAATTATAATATTAGTCAGTGCCTCATCTCACAAAGTATTGTCTGTACTGTAGGGAATGTAAAAAAAAAAAAAATATTTTGTCCTTGTAGTTGTGCTTCATGATATGAGCTTTTGTCTAGAAGTATTATTGTTCCCCCGCTCCCTTTTTTAAAGGGACAGGTACCTCTAACTCTTACTTGAGTTCTTACTGGATATGTTTATGCCTCATTTGGAGAACTCCGGAGTACAGGAGTATATATCAGCTGACATTTTCCCAGCAAGAGAGTTCTAGGCAGCACATTGCTGTTGGATTGTTTTAATATTCTTTTTACAACCAGGCCATTTTAAATTGGTATCTTGGTCACTTCTTTTATCAGTGTAGTTGGACTTCCTGCTCACCCAGTTTCACAGCCTGTGTGATTCCCATCTGTTGGATTTATGCAAGTGACTGCAATGCTGTTGAACTGAAAAATGCAATTACTCTTGCTGTATGTGATACAACTCAAAATATTGTTGGTGGCTGTACAGAATTTTGCATGCTGTCTTTAGGTGGTCATATGGAAGGAGGGACATAAATTGAAAAGGTGTTTATGTGAGAAAACTTCTGACTGCAGACTTTATCATAATGCACTTTTTAACAGTCTAAATACAATTTTTCAGAATCTGTAATACTTCTAAATTGGAGTGTTCTGTTTGAGACATTTTGTATGTCATGATTTCAGAATTTGCTTATTCTCTCTTACTTGTTTTTTGTTGTTGTGCACTTTGTAGTTGGTGCAGTTTATTATCTTTATCAGGAAACATATGAGACTCTTTATTAACCATTACTGAACCTATTTTTAAAATGCTCTTGGCTTAGATTCAATAGAATTTAGGGTCAGAACATACTTAGTGTATGTTAGTATGTGCTAGTGTATATAATTTCAGCATAACCTAATTCACGTTGATTATTAAATTCCCTAACTCAGTTGTGTCTTGTTTCAGAGAGTTTCCAGTGATCCTGAAAGCAGCAGTAGTGACAGTGATGAGCTTCTGGAAACATCTGCTTCAAGTGTACAGGTACCTTTTCGTATGGAATATTTTTTATATCTGTTCACACATTAGTTGCAAATTTTATTCTGTTGTCCATGATTTATTTCACCATCTTCTAGTGCATACACTTATCTACCTCACTCCTCTCTCTCGCACTACATGTTTCGGCACAAAAGTGCCATCTTCAGGTGCTTATTCGATTAACGTTAAACTAGTTCACTGCATGCCTTGTCGTCTTCATATTAAAATAATTAAAATATATATTTATCATATATATTGATAAATATTAAATATTAAAAATATTAAAGTTGTTCAGGACTTTTCCTACGTCGTATCTCACTACTCGAGTCACATCTATTCTCTTCTGTCGGAGTACTCTTTCTGTTTTCGTGTGTGTATTGTGCTTTATGTTGTGTCTTGCTCCTGTGACTGCATGTGTTATATAATATATAACTTTATTCTGTTGCATTATTCTGGTGTAGTTGCTCAGCTTTGCATTAAGAAGGTTTGTCCAGGATTCCATACCCAAGGCTGCCCACCCAATCTATATTTACATATCATACCCTTCGTAAGTATTATAGAACAGTTCTTTGGGGAAGTACTACAGCTGTGGCCTTAGTAGTTTTCAACAGTGGTGCTAATCAGATGTTGCTTAAGCTTGGCAGTGAATTTAATGTGCTTTGTATATTTTACGTGATATAAAAAAAATGTATTGCCAGCCAGTATAGCACAGTCAGTATAGCAACCGGCTACAGGCTGGACAACCAAGGGGTTTAGTAGGGTCCAGAATTTTCTATTCTCCATGTCTGGGGCCCACCCAGCCTCCTGTCAAATGGTTACCGACGGTAAAGCAGCCAGGACCTGAAGCTGATCACTCACACCCAACTAGTTCCAATGTCAAGAAAATGTGGATGTATACATGCACTCCCCCCTACGTCTTCATGGTGTAGTGCTCAGTTAGTTAACCACAGGGACGACTTTACCTTAAAAAATATATGCGAAGAACAAAATAGTCCATGGTGGATTATTTGTTAGCAGAAAAGTGAACCCTGTTGTATATGATGGTATGAGTTCATGATGCAGGGTGTGAAGTAAAAATACAGTAAGACCTCACTAATTCATATTAATTGGGAGCAAAAGTTTGAATTATAGAAGTGCTGCTGAAAATATGTTCAGGGTAGTTATAAAATGGACTTCACATGTCTTAAGCAATGCAGCTTTATTTTGAAACCTAGATTGCGTGCCATAAAATAAATTTACTTGTCATAAAATGTAAGTCTTGACGTCACTTAGTATTATTGAGACCATGTATAAAAAATGAACTTATTTTTGTTTTGTAAGTTTTGAGGTTTTCATGGCGATGACAATGAAGAGAGTCACCTTCCGGGTTTAGGCACCGTGTATTCTTCGTGTTGGCCGACGTTTCGGAGGAACGTAGCGCCTCCATCTTCAGAGCAGTTGAATGGCTTGGAATGCGGAGAGCAGTAGCAGTAGCGGAGAGAGCTACTGCTCTCCGCATTCCAAGCCATTCAACTGCTCTGAAGATGGAGGAGCTATGTTCCTCCGAAACGTCGGCCAACACGAAGAATACACGGTGCCTAAACCCAGAAGACGACTCTCTTCATTATTTTTGTTTTGTTGTGTCTCTTGTATGTTGTTCTTTTACTGCGTCTTGCTAATCTTGTGATCAAGGTTATAATGCACAAAAAACAGTTATCCAGATTAGTGAGGTTTCACTAATGTAATTTTGGATTATTCATGATTTTCAGTTCTTTATGCTTCCTCTCCCCTCAGCCTTGTTAGTTGAGACTATGCTATATAAATTATAGTAAATGTGTTCAACTTTAAATGAAGTAACAAGTAAAATGAAATGCTTAATTAACTTACCGAATGCAGGCTGTCATTCAGCTAAAAATCTTCTGTCCCACCGGTGACAAAACTGAAGAGCAAGAGAACAAAGAAAGTGTATATTGTTTGGACCTCAGAAAATGAGAAAGTGAACAATGGGGAACTAATTGTTTCTGGCTTTTACCTAATATTAGAATAATTAACTGAAGAAAGTTGAAGTGAGGCATTGAAAAAATCTATGTTCATAATATTCTCATTGAAATAGATCATAGAAACAGGCTACTTTGGCACACAGGGTAAATTTGGGTGGATTAAAATGGATCTGGGGGAAATAAGTTTTGAGGGTGTCAACTTGATTGAATTATCTGTAGAGTAGGAACTGTTGCAGGCTTTCTTTGTCGCTGATGAACTGTCAGCATCCATGACAAAAGAATTTTTTCAACAGTTGATTATCAGTTGTTCATGTAGAACACTGGCAGGAAGATAATAAGTTGCTGGCTTCTTCAAATAAGTACATATGTTTATTTTTTTATCTTTGCAGCAAGTTGTGAATGATGGAGATGACACTAGTGATGAATCAGATTCAGATTGGGAGGATGATGAAGAGGAGGAAGAGGAAGAAGACAGTGAAAGTGGTTGGTATTTTTGGCTGCTAAATTGACTAGTCTGTATTTTAGGTAGTTGCCACTGTACAGTAATTAGAAGTCTTTGGAATGGAGTGGTTTTACTGCTGATGTATCTGTGCTGCATATTTTAAAAATTCTATTATACATGAAGGTATCTTTCCTTGTTAACCACAGTAAAATTTGTCTGTCATCCTTTAGTAAGATAGACATTTTGGTGTTACATGCTTTGTCTTAATCTCTGTGTTCTACTGGGCTTAAAATGGGCTTAATAAGGTGGAAGTCTGTTGTTACAATACCTTGTAGTATTTCTAAAACTTACAAAGTAACCTCACACCAAAGGCTGCACCATAGCTCAAGCGGTTAGTCGCTGGCTTCTCACCGCGGCAGCCCGGATTCGATCCCGGGTCTAGTGAAGTGGGATTTGTGGTGGACAAAGTGGCGCTGGAGCGGGTTTTCTCCAAGTACTTCGGTTCCCCTGCCAATCTTCATTCCACTAAATTCTCCATCATCATAATCACCTGGGCAGGTACAATAAGCCAATCATTGTCCACCATGCCGAGTGGACCCAGTTGGACTCCACCCCCCACTAACCTCACACCAAAACAAGAATCCATCAGATGTAAGGGGCAAAGGAACAGCATTTCTCTTATTTGCTATCCTATGAAATTGTTTTCTGTATGGTTTTATGGAAAACGAATAAATGAAAGGAGGAGGAAGAAAAGGAGACTGAAATGTAAGCATCATCATATAGTTTGCCCTATATCAAGAAGAGACATTTGTATGTTTTCCTGCTTTGTTTCTTTTGTTCATCCTTCCTTTCAAGTTTGTGGAATGCAGACATTCTCTTGCATCAGTCAGCATGTAATGACCACTGCATTTAGTAAGGAGTTAAGTTACATATCATCATCCAAAAATGTTTGTATGTGATGTGGCAGTGACCTTGAAAGTTGTTGTGTTATAAGGTAATTAAAAGATCATACTTTTTATGTGAAAAATTTAATAGTTCATTTGTTTAAGTATCCATGTTGGGTACTTTCTACAACTGAAGTCCACTGAAGTGGAGTGTCTGCTCTTTGGTTGATTCTATCAAAAGAACCTTATAAATGCCAAATATCATTCAGTCCTACATAAAGTGTTCTGTATTTTAGCATCAGAAGAGTATACCAGCACAAGCTCTGATGAGAGCAGCGACTGTTCTGATTGGGAAAGTTTGGAAGAGACAGAAGAAAGATCAGAGGAAGCTAGTACTTCCTCTCTGAAGCCAGGTGCTGCTTCCGCAGTTGACAGTTATGCAAGCAAGGTATGAGTAAAAAATGTTCAGAAGCTCTTATGGACAATGTGAAAAAAAAAATGAAAGTAGGGGTTAGCATTTCAATCTTTTGCTGTAGATGACTGCAATTTGAATAACATTTGCTGTTGTTTACCATCTCGTGTGTATTGCACAGCCTGATGTTTCATAAACAAGAAAGTCATACCGAAAGAGCAGTGTTACTGATGGACATTGTCTCTTCTTATCCTACTGAATTCACTCAAGACATAAGATAATACGCTTCTTTACAGTACTTCCGCCTCGAGTTGCTATATCAGTCATAATATAATATTAAGCTGGCCTCTTCTGAATTGTTCTCAATATAAATGGCATTTTGATGGAATTTTGGAGAAGAGGAATGACTTTTTTTTTCAGTATATGGCATTCCTTGGGCATACTTGATTTTCACTTATTTATGCTTCTCCAATTAATTCACCATAATGCTCAAGCGTATATGCTTTTATCTTTATGTAGTATTGCCAGGCGTAAGATACATGGTGCGTTCAACATGGTACTGGATGAAAATGTATCTAGTTCTTTGTGAATGAATGCTCATGTTTTGCAGTAGAAGTAAATATGTTATTGTGGTAATATTTAGGTCTTCTGTTGAAAAATGGTTAGTACATTCCATACAGCAGTGGTTAAACTGTAGTGGTACGTATCAATAAATGACGGGATATATTTTTTTTACTTATCCATCGTTAATGGCCACTACTGCTGTAGGATTATAGTACACAAGAATATTCATGGTCATTGTAACAGTAATAGTTGAATCAGAAACTTCATATGCTGTTTTTAATTTTATGACTGTATATGAATTTTAGGAGTGAATTTGTTTTTCACTGGATTTCTTTCAAGTGACCTAATCCTTCTGGCTGCACTATGATCCTGGGGTCGACTCAGCCTCTAACAGAAATGAGTAACAGGAATATTCTTGGGGGTAAAGGGCAGCCGGCGCATAGGGCTGACAACCTTGCCACCACCTATGAGCCGCATGTCTAGAAAATGTGGGAACCTCAACATCTCACAACCCTATGGGCCTCCACGGCCTGTTACAGGGATACCTTTACTTTATTTTACTTCTTTTTCTTCAGGCTTGTGATGGCACTGCAACGTCTGGTGCCTACATGTCAGATAGCAGCGATGGACAGTCAGAAAAGTGTCCCATTTGCTTGCGCAGTTTTACCGTGCAAGAAATTGGGACTCCAGAAGCTTGTGATCACAGTTTCTGTGTTGACTGTCTGCAGGAATGGTCAAAGGTAACTGTAGCCTTGAAATGGCTGTGATGTGTAGTAAAATAAAGTGAACAAAGTGTGAAGGAATGAGGCATAAATGCAGCTAGAAAGAATGTACAGGGACAATACACTAGAAATTTAATTGTGCACTAACATTTGATAGTTAATCTTTATTAGCCAGGAATGTGGGATTTAAATTCCTGGTGCCACAGATGTTGGCAGCTGTATATTAATGTTAAGGTGGTCCATGATTTTAATGTTGAAAAAATACACTGCTGGAACTGCTGGACCTATGCATTCTCTATCATAACAGTGTGTTATGTGGCTAAAAAGGGTTAAGGTAGTACTTGCATGAGCAAAATAAAGTGGGTAGTAACATCAGTGGGTTGTTCTATGCTGCAAACTTAGCTGTAGACTGAAAAATTACTACATATAACCTGCAGCAATATAGAAGTTAATTTTGCTCATCAAGCCAGTGGGCAGAATGTGCTGGTTGATAGTTTTTTAAGCATCATTTTGGGCTTGTAAATCTCAACATTGAATTTCACTTGAATCTATGTGTATGTGCGTGCGTGCGCACGGGAGAGAGAGTTTCTCAAGTACAGGTATGGAGGTTATGTAAAGTTAGTATGCAAAAATCTTGTCAAATGTTATGAAGACTTACGAATTAAATTTAATGGCAGTTCACTGGGCCAGACTCAAGTTCCTTAATATGCACCAGCCCTGGGCCTCATTGCGTGACATTGCTATATGTTAAGGATACATTATGGGGGCACACGGTAGCATAGTTGGTTGAGACTCTATGCTACAAGCCAGAAGGTCATGGGATCTAATCCCGATGAGGTCATTGAAATTTTTTCAATTTACCTAATCCTTCCAGCCGCACTATGGCCCTGGGGTTGACTCAGCCTCTAACATAAATGAGTACCAGGAATATTCTTGGAATGTTCTTGGGGGTAAAGGGCGGCTGGCGCGTAGGGCTGACAACCTTTCTGCCATCTATGAGCCAATTATCTAGAAAATGTGAGGACCTCAACATCTCACAATCCTATGGGCCTCCACGGCCTGTTACAGGGATACCTTTACTTTACTTACTTTTAGGGATACATTACAGGCCCATTGAATTCCAATCAGATGTTGCCTAATAATTATATTCTCTTCCCTCCTTTTTAGCATTTTAATCATATTTTTCTCTCAATTTTATATCTGTGGTATAGTCTGTTTAGGTAAACATTTGTCTTATAATTTTCTTATCCAAAATGTTTTAAAACAAGGAGATGCTTTGTTATCATTCAGAATATGCCATTAGCAAGGCCCACAAAAACCACGTGGTACTGAAATTAAAAGGGACACATCAGCTGCTGGTCTATGCTGATGATGTGAATCTATTGAGAGATAACATAGGTACTGTAGAGAAAAGTACAGAAATTGTAATTGACATTATTGAGGAGGTTGGTATAGAAGTAAGCACAGTGAAAACTAAGTATGTGTTGCTGTCTCATCACCAAAATGCAGGGCAAAATCATGACATAAAGATAGCTAACAGATGTTTTGAAAATGTAGCACAGTTCAGATATATGGGAATGACTAGAAGAAATCAAAAACTCGATTCAGGAGGAAATTAAGAGAAGATTGAATTTGGATAATGCTTGCTACCATTCAGTCAAGAACCTTTTGTCTTCTGTCTATAAACGTAATAATTAGAATATACAAAACTATAATTTTACATGTGGTTCTGTATGAGTGTGAAACTTGATCTCTGACATTAAGGAAGGAACAGAACACGAAGGTGTGTGAGGACTGGGTGCTGAGCAGAATATTTTGACCAAAGAAGGCTGAGGTAACCGGAGGTTGGAGAAAACTGCATAATGAGGAGCTTCATAACTTGTACTTTTTGCCAAGTATAATTAGAGTGATCAAGTCAAGGAGGATGAGATGGGCAGGGCATGTAGCACGAATGGGAGATAAGAGGAATGCATATAGGATATTAGGAAAGAGGCCACTAGGAAGACCATGAGGTGGGTAGGTAGGTAGTTGGATAATATTAAAATGGATCTTGGAGAAAGAGGATGGGATGGTATGGTATAGTCTAGATCTGGCTCAGGATAAGGACCAATTGAGGGCTCTTGTGAACATGGTAATGAATGTTTGGGTTACATAAAATGTTGGAAAATTCTTGAGTAGCTGCATGACGGGCAGCTTCTCACGAAGGGCTCATCTCCATGGAATTAAGCAGGTAGGTAGTAAATTAGGAAGTACCCATTTTTAATTGAAATTTGGTACTAGCTATTCAGACTTGGGTTTGTGATAGTATTCCACAGATTCTGTAATAATATCATAAGTTTAAAATAAATCATAGTCTTTTACCTGCTCTTCCCTCATTTTTCATCATTCTACCACGTGTAGTTTTATGCTACATAATCTCATTAGTTGATGTAGCTTGATTATTTAACTGAATAAATGAACACATGTATTTTTTGTGAACTCCTGTCACCTGAGTTTTGGATGATATTCCAAGCTGTGTGCCTGATGTGCTAAGGTGTGAAAGTAATGCATAAATAATTTCCCTAAAGTTGCTTTTTAGAGTCCTTGCTACTAATTTATACTGAAGGCTTTCAGTTCCTTTCTCCACAGTTGGCTTATTTGACTTGTTGATTGATTTTGTAGTTTCATATTACTCTGTTATTTGTATGAATCGTTTTTCTAATGTCTGCGTTGTTTTCTTGCAGAATGTTAATACTTGCCCAGTAGACCGACAGATGTTTACTTTAATCCTCGTCCGACGCTGTCTTGGAGGAAAAGTCATCAGAAAAATCCCCGTGAAACCACCAAGACAGCAAGAGGAGGATGAAGTTCAGGAGGATGCAACATACTGTGAAGTTAGTATTTAACATGTATTGTATATGTTGCTGTGTCATAATAGTAGAAGTTTCAAGATGGCATGTCTAAATGACAGAGTGAGATCATGCTCAACATGTTCACTGCAAGAAGAGAGTTTCCTGCTGCCGTGATTTCACATTAGCTAGCAAGAACTCCTGGAACTGCTTAACTCTGCCATTCCTGAGTATTAAGTTTCTGCTTCATATGTATCTTTGGATATATCAGTTGCTTATGTCTGTAGAGAAATCTGACATGTTAGGGACCATGACAAGCAAAAATATATTTGTAGTTTTACAGGGATGAGACTAGAGGAAATTATACAAAAAAAAAATAGAAGTGGAATTTGCTTCAGTATGATGACTAGGAAAACAGAGTTCTGTATACAAGAAGGAATGTTTTGTAAGATACAGCTTGCTCAGACATTACTAGATGTGTTGCAGAATGGAAGTGAAAACTGTAACAAAATCTGCTAGCTAGGTTAAATGTTCAAAGAACAGTGCCCAGTCGTTCATATGTAAATGTGTTAACAGGCTTGTGGGTTCCACAAGGGATCCATGTATAGTTTGATCAGTCAGTGTAGTCCTTGCACGCACATGTTCAAAGAAAACAGTGAAGCCATGTGATTCCATACCATATCTCATAAATAGGGACGGGAGTGTGAAGAGGAACTGTAAAACAGAACACTTGACAAGTTACGCCTCCTCTCTTGTAGAAGTGAAGTAAATCATAGAAGTCGCTGGCCCATGGTTCAGGCTACAAATTGCCGACCAAATGTGATGCTTACCATCCCGAGTAGGTCAAATAAGTTTATTGAGGTTAGTTTTAAAACTGTACTTATGAAAATTTTCATGCAGCGCGGATTGCCTTGCTTAGTTTATAATAACATTGCCAAATGAAACTTTTGACTGCTGTTCATGTCCATAACTGCCGAAGTTAGCATACACAGTGTGTCCAAAATCCTTTAGGACTCCCCCCCCGCAGTGCCATCTGTTTGCAAGTTGTGACTTTAAGATTCTTCAAGTTTCAGCTGTGGCTGTCTTTAATTTCAAAGCGCAAGCATTGCTGCATCGTGTGTTCTGACGCTTGTCAGAAAATGGTGGTTGAACAGAGAGCCAACATCAAATTTTGTTTTAAGTTAGACAAAATAGCCGGAGAGGCGTACAAAATGATGAAAAATATGTACAGTAGTGATTGTTTGAATCGCTTGAATATTATTCGATGGTGTGCTATATTTTGTGATGGCTGGGAGGATGTTGAAGACGCTCCACGTGCATCAAAGCCGAGAACAAGTCGCACTGAAGAAAATGTGAAAAAAGTTGCCGAAATCCTTTCATCAGACAGAAGTGTTTCTGCAAGACTCATCAAGGAGCTTTTGGGAATACCAAAATGTACTGTGCATCAAATTTTACCGAGGATTTGGGCAAACGGAAGGTCTGTGCACAGTTTGTACTGCACACGCTGTCAGGCGATGAAAAACGTACCAGAGTGGAACGCTGCAAAGACATGTTATGGTCGGCCCAAAGTGATACAAAATTTACAAAATTGATTGTTACTGGTGACAGAAACATGGTGTTTTCAATATGAGCCTCTCACAAAGCGGCAGAGTGCAGCGTGGTTGAGCCCAAAGAAAGTGCGCATGCAAAAGAGTTGAGTAAAGACACTGTTAACCTTTTTTTTTTTTTCCCCCTCTCTCTCCAAAGGAATTTCTGCCAGAAGGCCAAACAGTGAATTCTGATTATTATCTCGGAGTCCTCAATCGTTTGTGGGTGAGAATTCTTTGAATTCGACCTGAATATCGAGAGCAGGGTTCCTTGTCGCTCCTCCACGACAATGCCCCACCCCCACAAATCGATCATGCATGATTTTTTTTGGCCAGAAAAGGACTCGCAGTCCTTGATCGTCTTCCATATTCACCAGATTTGGCTCCAGGAGATTTCTGGTTCCCAAAAGTGAAGTTGGCAATGAAAGGATACCATCACGACACCATCCAGGACATCCAAAGGGAATGTACCGCGGTTTTAAATGTGATTCCACAAAAAGAGTACAGTGACTGTTTTCAAAAACTTTTCAATCAATATTGATTCAGAAGGAGACTATTTTGAATAAAAAGAGTGAAATTTTGAAAATAATTCATGTCTTGTATTTTTAATGAACATGGTCCTAACAGAACCTGGACACACTGTGTATGTAGTGGAATCCCCATTTGTACACTTTTTAAAATTTTTCCCTCATTAGGTTTGAGTTCCTGTAGTCTTCGTCTAACTGTTTCAGTGTTTCCCCCATTAGTGCTTTTGTCAGAAAGGGATCTCCAGAAGAACATGAAATGTGGATTGTACTATGTCTGGTGTCCGATTTAAATGAAAGAAGTCAGTCACAATTTTTCTCTCTCTATCCAGGTATGTGGTCAGTGTGATCGTGAAGACCGCATGCTTCTTTGTGATGGTTGCGACCTTGGCTATCATCTTGAGTGCCTGGATCCTCCTATGGATACTGTACCTCTGGAAGAATGGTTCTGCCCTGATTGTGCTTTCTCAAACTCACTCCAGATAGCAGAAGAGGTAACAGCTCTCCTACGGTCCCTCTATGTTGCATTTCCCATGATCGATATTTTTGATTTTGACTTTTAAATTGCCGGCAGCTCCCTACGGCCGGAATTTAAATGGCCCTAAATCTTTAACATTGCAGACTTTCAGAAAAAAATGGATATTTTCCATTCTATGCAACATCGGAATATGAACTAAAAAGAACCTGAAAGACAATAAAATTTTCTACATATAGACAAAAGGGCAAGTTTTACAAATAAAAATTAACTGTGATTATTTTGTCATGAATTGCAAAATATAATCGTTATTAAATACGTTATGAAATTCTAAAGGACCTACCCATTATTTTTCTTCAACCTTGAATCGTGGTGGTGATGTAAATATGATGACACTATATACAATAATATTTGGGCCGGACTGTACACGGTTTGGACTGCGTCACTTCACAGCTTACACTATGACGCGCGTGTGCCATTTCTCGAAGCAGTCCACCACACACAGCGCGACATCACACTTTTTACAGCAGAAAAGCGTGCTTCTGCTTTTCTTGTTTATAGAACAAACTCAACAACGTCTTTGTTTCCCCTTAGCTTGCCAGTGCTTTGAATGTTTCACCTCCAGTCGACTCATTTGGGCCCCAGATGAGCTTGGCCTCCCCCGAGAAACGCCACTGACCGTGATATTCGCCTCATGCGATTGAAGAATCAAATCACGCACCAAAATTTCGCGGAATTTTTTGTGCGTCATTTTTCCATCACATGACTTGTGTAACAGATATGCATTGAGAACAGTCATGTCTAGGAGGTGGAAGAATAATTTCTTCGTCCATTTCCATGTCCTCCGAGCAATGCCATAGCTGTTCACCATTCTATCAGATTTGTCCACAAAGCCCATGTGTGCATTGTAGTCTTCAATTTCATGAGGTTTGATAGCATGGCCAGATTCATCTCGGAAGTTGCCATCCAATGGAGGAGGGTGCATATTCGTCAGAACATACACATTGCGCTTGTCTTTCCAACGAACAACACTTAGATTCCCCTTCGCTCTTGTCACCATGTCCCCTTTTTAATTTCAGCAATTTGGGCCGAATTTCTTGTGGCATTCCACACCTGTCATTGCGAACGGTGCCACACGAATTTATTTTACACTCTAGAAGATCATCATACAATGCAGGGGAACTGAAATAGCTGTCCATATAAAGTTTGTGTCCTGAGCATTCTACTCTTCGAATAAGCTGGAGAACAATGCCATGGGTTGGTGTAATTTCTTCGGTTGCAAGTTGCCTTTGTTTCCCCAAATAAACAGTCATGTCATAGGTATAGCCCAGAGAATCGCAAAGCTTGTAAATTTTTATTCCAAATCTTTTGTGTTTTTTGGGAATATACGAGTACTGCCGAAAAACCACTCTTCCTTTGAACAGCACTATCACTTCATCAACAGCAAGATGTTCCGATGGATGGTAAAGTTCACAAAATTTGCTGTTAAGACTGTTGAAAATTTGTCTAATCTTCCAGAGCCTATCGTACTCTGGGTCATCTCGATTTGGAGGAGCTTCATTATTCTCAAAATGAAGAAATCTCAAAATATGGAAGAAACGGTCGCGTACCATGGTGTTATGATAGAATGGAGTGTAGTACTGCTCATCTCTCGACCAATAATCTTTCAGGGTGTCCCGCTGATCGTGGCCCATTTGAATTATTATGGCCAAAAATTTCGACATTTCTTCAAGTGTGACGTCAGGCGGTTGAGTAGAAGGGCCTGGAGCTTCTTGGCTTGCCAAAAATTGATGAAAATATCTGTTTGTTTCTTGTACCAAGATCTGGAATATATGGTGAAAAAAGAGAATGAATATGGAAAAGGGAGAGGACTCAGCATTTATATTGGGCGCAGTGGATCTGTTTATTCCACTCGGAGGACCAGTGAAATCTAGTAGCTTTGGCGAATCCCCGGGTCTTCTATCGCGAAACCTGATCTCCATTTCCCCTGCCTCATTACTTGAGGATGATGATGATGATGATGATGATGACGATGACGACATATGCTCGCGAGGTTCAATGACCTCATCGAGTTCTTCCAACTCTTCATCAGATTCATCTTCCATCAATATTTCCTCCAGTTCTTCAGCATCGAGGAGTTTTGAGTATCGGGCTCGTTTTTGAGGTTCCATCTTGGGGGAGGGGGCTTCCAGCTAAATCCTATAATTTATGATTGAAAAAGCGAGACTGTTAGGAACACTCGCAAAATTGTGATGCAAAGTAATTGCAATAGCAGTCGAAAAGTTACAGTCCGCCACTGATACCGAAAGTCACAGTGACGAAGATGTCTTTACGCACAAAGTAACACTGGCTCAGTGGGTTTATACCTCTTCCGAGATACACAATAAAAATGATATTCAAAGAAATATAAGGGTCTGACACTGACTTCCTAATAACCAAATATTAGAAAATCCGCCACTGACGTCCTAACTGACAAGTCAACACTGCAAACCAATCCCTGAATTTGTCACCCTTCCGTGAAAGCTGTGGTAGCACTGATATGTAAGCGCCCCACGAATATTTCCTCCTCTAAGTCCTCAAAACAAAGCTGACCTCTATTGGCTCACCAGGTCATAAACAGTCATATCTAAACGTAAATAGTTTTGAAACCAGTGCCCTGATAAACGATTTCATTCTTCAGAGCTAACAAATAAACGTCTGAGATGAACATTCATGAGTTTGTTTGGGTTTCAAACCCAAGGTCAAACTGCCAGCACTCACAAAGGAAGCACGTGGCTTGCCTCTAAAAATTATAACATTCGGCCAGCTCGGCTTGCTACTGGATGCCAATAATTATAACATTCGGCCGTTAAAGGTTAAATTTTGAAGTTCTCCTTTTCTGCTTTCCGTATCTTTCTGTCAACCTACCTATGTTTTCTGTGTGAACCCTTTTCTTTATTTTTGTAATTTCACTACTAATACTCCTTTTTAATTTCTCTTTTAATATGTTAATTCCTTCCTTATTCATCTCTCAGTTTATTTTCCTTTTATTGATATTGTTTCTGACTTGGTGGTGAGGATGAAGGTATTCTGAAGCTGAATGCTGTGTTCAGCTACAGCTGATTTGTCCAGATGTTCGAGACAGATGTGCTGCTGATGCTCCTTCAACCCCTGGTTTATCTTCAGGCCGACGGTTGAGAACTCTGTTGATCTGCCAGTTGTTGTATCCATTCATCCTGAATACATCCCCCAGGAGCACCAACTCCGCATGTAGGCTGTCTTGATCACAAAGAGCTCTAGCCCTGTGCACCAATATGGAAAGTGCAGCTTGCTTGTTGAAAGGGTGGTTGTGGGACGAAACGTTAAGGTAGAGGTTTGTATGGTTGGATTTGCGGTACACTCTATGGCCCAGAGAACTGTCGGGTGTCCTGTAAATATCTATATCCAGGAAGAGGACGTGGCCCTCAGTTTCAGTCTCCACTGTGAACTGAATGCACGATGGAGACTGAAACCGAGGGCCACCTACCCTTCCTGGCTCACTGCTATTGCTACTGCTACAATAGCTATAACCACAACAACCATCATTACTACTTGTTTGTTTACTTGATTATACAGGTTGACATCCAGGATGGCGAATTAATGGCCCTTCTGGAAGATGCACCTGCTTGGGGGCTGCCTCCACTTCGTCCACGTGTGTCACGTCTGCTACCCCGAACAAGGCAGAGTGAACGTGTAAGAGCCACAATGATGACTCGTCAACGACGACAAATGGAAGGGGAACAGCAGAGGGATCCAGCTCAAGTATGTGCTTTGTTTTGGAACAGAAATCATCTCATAAACTTACTACAGTGCGCATTACGCAGCTTACGCATCTGAAAGATCAAAGAAATCATGTCAGTTAAATGAAACACTTTCCAACTGTAAACTGGCATTAAAAATAGGTGGAATGCATTAAATGTACAAAAAAAATGAACTTGATTAGGTGCTGGCCACATGAGAATAAGGCATATAATCTTCCCATTTTTTTCAGTATCAACAGATTGTGAAATTGTGAAAGAAATTTATATTTTATTGACATCTTGCTCTCACATCCTAAGTTTCCATAATTTCTGAGAATATCAGATGATAGTTGACAAGTAAATTAACCATCCTTATGCATTAAGTAGAATTACACATATTACACACTAATATAGAATCAGCAGTCAAATGAAAGATGTAATTTCCTTTAAAATTTTGAGTTGTATGAGATATTCATGATTTGCCGTTCTTCCAGTTTTCTTCTTTTCCTTGATATACAGGCAAAGTGAATTATGATACTTGGAAAGAAACTGTAAACAAAGATTATAGGATTAAGCTGGATGTTCTGAGTTCTCTTTTACAACTCTGTATATGAAATTATACTGAAAAGGAAAAGCTGGCTTGGTAAAATATGGGAGAAAGGACAGCTTGGAGCTCTTACCAGAGCCCACAGGGGCCCTGGGGTGATGTATAATAACTCAGCAGCAATATGAAAATTGTAATGAAATGAGAGAATTAAACGTTAGTTCTTCTTCCTGTGTAACTTTCTATGGATGCAGGTTCACCAGTTGAGCCCATATCTTGTCCCTCTTTCCATATCCATTGACAGTCCATCAGCATATGTTTTTTATCTTCCCTCTGAACTTTTTTCTTTAGGTTTCAGTTCTCTTACCAGTATTGTGCAATGTGTATCTTTATTTGCTTCGCATGCCTGAACCACTCAGGTTTACTTATTTTTGATGTCTCAGATTACCACACATTTCATTATATTATTGTTAGCATGTTCTCAGCTTTTAAATTCTATATTTCAGTGTATTGTTTCTTTTTCTAGCCCTCAACTTCATCAGGCATTGATTCTTTGGAGGCTGATAGCAGTGCTAGTATTAATAGCGTCAGACAAAGGCCCGTGACTAACACAACCAGAACAACATATAAGCGTAGGAAAATATCAAGACACAAGACAGCTAGGAAGAGAAGTACGAAGCGTAAAGGAACAGGAACAAAGAAGTCCAAAAGAACCACTTCATCTACAAAAAGCAGTTTAAATAGGAGTTCCAAAAGGAGGCATAAGAAAAGGAGAAAAATTAAACGAAAGAAGAGAAAAGTTAGTAATTAATTTTGTGAATATGAAGTTTGGATTTAAAACAAAAATTAATTAAGAAATTAAAGCCCCCCCCCCACAAGGAATTATTGGAGTAAGGTGATAACAGTAAAATATGTATGCAGTTCATAGTATTTTCTCATTTTACATGCTGAATTTTTTGGACATATGGTAGTACAGTTTATATTCCTGCCTTGCTGTCATCTTTGTTGCATAAACATCTCATTGTTAAATTGTGAGTGTGGTCTTGGAAGACTGCTATAGATATCTTTGGGAGGTGCTGAGTTTAGATCCCAGCTGAGATGTTGATGTTTTCCTCCAGGAAAATGCTAGATCAATACCTTAAACCACAACTGATTCCTTCCTTGTTTTTTCCAATAATTAATCATCTTACTTTTCAACACTATGATCTAGCATTATAAAATAACCAACAAAAGAAACCTTCAGTTGACAGTAAATTGTCATTAAAGTTTTAGTCATTTCCAAAGTTAGGATATGGTTTCCTTTTTTAAGTAAACCAACAAGTAAGTAAAATGTATCACAAGTAACATTTGCAGCTGTGCTGCTTGTATTAACATGCTGTTGGTCACTGAGATATGATATTATTGATCCTTACACTACTCTCCTCCTTCACTGCCTTAACTTGAAATTTCTTGCATTTTCACCGAACAAAATTAAATTTATGTTTAAACTTCCATAAAGTGCAGAGTATCATAAAAGAAAGTGTACACTTCTTAAGCGAGAAGCTTATAACAGAAATTAGGTTATTGAGAATGAATCTCATTTACTGTGTATGAAGTTTTGAAGTAACCAAACTTTATATATGTAGCTTGGTTTGCATTCTTTTACATTTGTATTCATTATTTTCAAATCAGTTATTTAAGTTAGGGGAAAATAATTTTAGTGTAGAACTTTCTTAAGGTAACTGTACCATTAGCTTTAAAATGTGTTATCCTCTGTTATAATAAAATACTTGTTTTACACCTTGCCGTATGTTGATTCTGTGACTGCTGTAAGCACAAGATAGTTGTGGTCTGATAGCAAACTAAATAATACAACCTCTTGATTATTGCTTCTCAGATTGTGAAACAGTGACCAGGTGTGGATATCTGTGTGTGTTTATTCTGTGTCTGTGTTGTTCTGTATACAGGTAGAGGCATTGCGATGGGCTGATCCCCCATCCAAAGAGTCCTACTGAGATAGATTGTGAAACAGTTCGTATTGAGCAGGAGTGTGAATAATGGTTGTGAAATGGAAAAGAAAAGGTTGCCTAACACATGTTCTCCTAAATGTAGGTGAATTTGTGCCACTTTGGTTCTGAGTGCCTTATTTCAAGCTGATGATACAGCACAGGTGTTAGTATTGCTTTGTGTGTTGAAGCTGATAGTGACTGACTGCCTACATACATTGTGTCATTATTCTTACATGGCATGCGCAGGAGCTTTGATGGGGTTGAGAAAGCATCAGATGCCTGGCAATGAATGATTTACTTACACTGAACTTGAAATTATTCAGCTGGTGATAGAAGAGACAGGTGTAAGAAAAAAGTTGTATTAGACTGATCAGGTTGGCTCATGTTGTAATGCTTCAGACCTGTATTCAAGAAGTGCCCAGATTGAATTCTAGCCTAATAGAAGGTTTTCATGGTATCCGTCAATCACTTCAGGCAAAAGCTGTGTGAGTGCATTGAAATAGGCCACATCTGCTTCTGTGCAGTCATTTCAAGTTCACTGATGCGATAGCAGAGAATACACATATCCACAAGTAAAGGGATATCTGTGATCCACAATAGAACAGTGTGACAGACAGTTGAAGTTAGAAGTACCTTGAAAAGTTAAATAATGTGTGTGCTAAGTATTAGAGTCCAAGTGAACATTTAGAATTAAATGAACTTACTGTGTTATTGAAAGATGCACTCATTTCCAAATAATACATGTTAGAGAAACTCTACAAACTGTGCGACTCAGGTGGCTGAACAGTATGATGTAAGAGTTTATTTTGGACAAAGACAAAGTGTGGATCCTACAGTAACAGCTACACATTCACGTAAATGACTACGAAGGCGAAAGGGGTTTGACACATCGTATATGGATGATTCCTTCTGATTGGACAGTTTTGGTGGGAAAGCATATACTTGTGGTGCAGAGATGGGCCTGAAACTTGATGAGAAGTTGTTTTTCAATTTCTGGAGCTTTCATTTTAGAACAGTTTTTATCTTCCTCCTCACATCTTGTGGTCCAAAATTTTCCCATCAGATTTGCCATGGGCTACTGCACAAGGAAAATCAGAAGGCAAACAAACCCTTCCACCAGCCACCCAACCTGACTTGATGTACGATACTGTGAGCATTGGCCCTTGGAAGGAAAACAAATTTGGTGTCATGCATGTTTCACAAAATTCAAATAACTGAAGTGCAATATTGGGTTGTATGTTAATATCTGCTTCAGGCTGTATCACACCAAATTGCATTTCAGAAGACTGTGATGCTACAGTGGAAATAGTGGAACACACGAATGTAAGTAACAATACAATTGTTACTGATATTTTTTTAATACCAATATCGTGATGGATTAACAAGTCTAAGAGAGTATGGCTATTATGAAAAGGCTGATGACATAAACAGGTATTTTTCAAGTGCCTTATACATATTCCTGTCAGATTGTTTACATTTTGTGAGATGACAGAGTGAATAGCTGCTTGGAGAAAACTATAAATTTATCAAGATTTTTGCAACCTTCATGGAAATGTTAGTAAACAAAGCCATCTCTTAGAATTAGGATAAACCTCTGACAATTTTAGAAACCTGGTGACACTTTTTTCACGCATGCACACACACACATACATATACATTTTTATCCCTATTGCTGCAATATCCATATGAAGCTGAACAAGCATCCATTACTGCATAGTGAAAGATGAAACTTCATCCCAAGTTAGGAAACAATCCTCTGTGTTCACTGCATTTAGCTACATCCACTGGGCACTATGAAAATGCATTTTTGTTTTTCTTTATATTTTTTCATGGAAATTGCATTATTTTAGAAGAATGATGAAAAAATAATGTGCAGCAGAAGGGCTAAACATGTCATTGGAAATGGATTTTCCTTGAGGCCAAAAAATATTAAAGCATAAACTGGCCAGGTTTTGATCATGCAATTGTGTAGGTAAATTACAGCCTTTATTGTTTATTTCTGAAAATGACACCTTGATTCAGAATAATTGTATCCTCTTTATAATTCAATGTAAATGCATTTAAAAAAGTGAACACTTTTCTGTGGTGTGCTTGCTATGTGTGTTTTCAGATGTGTGAAATTTTTCATTTCTTAGGCTATATAAGAGATTTAGTGGCTGTTGAACAAATACATTTCTGTTGGTAGCACTTAACAAATAATGATCTTTTTGTTACACTCAAGTTCAAAGGGACTTGAAATCTCTCTAATTCAGAATAGTGCTAGCCATAAACACTGAGTTTGCATCTGAATCATGACTAATACTTTTAAATATAGCAGCTAGCACCTGACATGCTGTTACGGTTCAGTGAATAACAAAGTAAAGTGTATTGACATGTACAGACATGGACAGTTTAAGAAAGGTTCTTTGATTCAGAAATAATTAACAGACTTCCAAGGAGCAATGAAAACATATATAGTGCTCACTCAGGACTTGTGTCCGTGTGTGTCTGTCCGTTCTAGTGTTTCAGTTGAGCATACATTTTATGTTCTTGCATCCCTGTTGCTCTTCCTGACACACTTAAGTTCCCCAGAAGTTTTCTTGGTGCATTTAAAGAATTAATTTATCTTATTTATTATGCATGACAATTTTTTCTGTAACAGTAAGCACTCTGCAATGAAATCATGCCAGACCACAGGTATGATATCACCACTGCTGCCTATACTGTCTGAATTAGTATGGACATTTCGAAGTACAGTATTTATGCATGTATAATGTTTCCTGTTATTGGGCTTCAGTTATATTCATTTTTGTTAAAAAAATTGTTTATTTAACAATGACTCAAAATTCTTATGTATTCATGCACATACTTGACCAGATTTGTTTTCTCTTGAGGGTCATTAATATAAATATTTGTGATTGTAATATTTTAATTGGGCATTGTCATGCAATTGTAGGAAGTAACAGATTGTTTCTTTATCTTTCAGGCCACAGCTCACAGAGTAAGAAGACCTGCTAGGATAGTCATGCCCCATTCAGTGAAAGGACGCTTAGCTGAGCATCTGGGAGTGTGTCCACCAAGGAGGCCAGGCCAGACAATACCTGATGTTCGTCCTCGAATAAGTTCAACTCGAATTGACTTCCAGCGGAGTAGAGCTGGCATCCCTACGTTACACTTGTTTGGTCAGAGAGACCAACTTGATTACTTTTCATCTGGGTAGGACCGCATACCTTACCTTTTCTTCATCGTCTTTTTGCAGCACATTCAAAACCATTTTTTCTACTGTTTAACATAACTGAGTATTACATTCTTTTGCATGATTTTAGAAGGAAAACATTTGATTGTTATGTATTTTCTTGTGTTGTTTTCCACTTGAAAATTATTTATTTTTGTGGCAGTTGAATTTATAGAAGATCAGGACTGCTATTAAAAGACAGTATGCACATTACTAAGGAACTGAGAAATAGTGTAAACAAGGTAATAACTGTATGGCCCATGACAAGATCTTCAGTCCAGGAAGAGGAAACAATAGCAGTCTTAATTTTTCTGCATAAAGAAAAATGTTACACCGATTGTTAGTTCAGTAAAATGCTATGTCTCCAACAGGCCGTGAAGGCCAGTAGGTTTATGAGACATCAAGTCTCCCACATTTTCTCAAGACAATCGGCTCACAGATGGCAGTAATTTTGTCAGCGTTACGCGCCGGCTGCTCTTTAGCCCCCAGGAGGATTCCTGGTACTCATTTCTGTTAGAGGCTGAGTAGACCCCCAGGGTCATAGTGCAGCTAGAAGGATTAGGTCATTTGAAAAATCCACCTCGTTGGGAATTCAGCCTGTGACCTTCCAGCTTGTAACATAGTGCCTCAACCAACAATGCTACCACTTGCCTGGATTGTTACTTGGTTGCGACATAAATTCCAGTCAGGATTCAAACCAGGTGTCTTTTAAGTGTGGGTTCAGTATGTTACTGCTTTGCAAGCCCACATTATAATTATGGGGATTACCCAGTTTGTCCAGAATTGTTAGGTGTAAACTGCAAGACTGAAGAACATTGTTTTTTTTTCAAGAGCAGTTGCCTCATTCATTTTGGCATTGCTGAAAATGAGAATTGCAGGGAATGTTATACATATTTTACGATTATTAACATTTTCTGGAAATACTAAGTTTCACTTTGGACTCGTTCGGGTGTTTTTTTAATATTGTGACGTATTCGCGTTATGCAGGACACCCCCTCCCCCTCAGCAGTGGCGAAACATCGCTGCCACTGCTATGGCAACAGGTCAGTCAACACTCCGACCCCCTCCACCACAGTGACATGGCAGCGCTTCCTACAGTGACGTGGTGGGGTTGCACCGCGGTTGCTACATGGCAATAGGCAACTCTCGGAAGCGTTACCCAGCAACACTGTAAACAAGGCGACTAGGGAACAGCGAACAGTATAAAAAGCCGGCTGAGCAGTATGTGAGACAGTGTGTGAGCAGGAGTGACACAGTGTGGATCGAGTCGCCGCCGAAGACAGTTGACATATAGCAGCAGTCCCAGGAAGAAGACCCGAACACGTGGTTAGAAGATCTTATGTGATAGTGTGCGATAACTCAGAAGTCAGCCAGTGAAGACGTATTGTGGGACTTCAAGATTTTATGTGTGCCGTAGAACAGTTATCTTGGGAGTGTGTAATTCAGTGACACTTGTATAGCTCCCACGTTATAAATACGTTAAGACTACTGAAGACAGAGTGAAGAGATTAGTGTGTAGGGTTTATAAATTGTGGAAACCTGTAACAGTGTCATAAGTAATTGTAGTTACAATCTGTAGGTTGTTAAATAAACCACTTAACAATCTGAATGGCGTCTTCAGTAGCAAAACATGTTACAATATTATTGTTTTTACCTGCATTTTCTGTAAACATTAATTAGCCAAAATGGGTTTTGGACTGATGACTGCATTTATTGGACTCTTTTAAAACAGTGCATGACTACACTTTACAGTTCACTATTACGCACACACTGCACTAGTGTCCACAGTCATATCTAAACTGCCCTTGTTTGGTAACAGCTTCCAGTGGCAGACGTTCCCCTTCCTCTGGGTTCCTGAACAGTCTCCAGCCTCAGCTACCAGCTTCTCACAGCAACAGCTCATGACAACTGAACCACAGCAGTCCTCTGACTCACGAACCAACAAACTCTCTTCACTCACTCCTCTCTAACTAAAATCACTGACTCCTAACTTGCTGTGCTTCTAACATCTTGGCTTGGACCACGTATAAAACACCACTTCCCATTGTTGTACTCTGTTGTTGCCATGGAAACATGCTTGTTTGTGGAGCAAGAACTGTTGTATAGTTGCTTATTTCACAGTTGTTGCTTAGCAGCGGGTCTGCATGCCACAGTATTCTGCAATTTAATTTATAAAATATTGTTTATTAATATTTTTCTTATTAATTTTTCAGATCTGATCATGAAATTGATGGCAGTTTTGGTGGAAATGTGTCTTTCGTGGCACGTCCTCGTACATCAAGTACCCGTGCAGCAAGAAATATTATCAGTAGGAAGCAGGTATTTCCATCAGCAAACCATTCAGTTTCTGCCATCCATTCAACAAGTGGCAACCTGGCGGCTGTCCCTATGGACAGTGTGTCAGATAGAGCATCTTCTGACCTTATTGGCAGCATACTGAACAGTCAAGCAGTGTGGCATTCCAAGAAGTCTGTGGTTACTATCAATCGTGATGGAAGTCTGCATATTAAAAGTGATGGGAAAAGTGGGGCTTCTAAAAGGAACACAGAAAACAGTGGTTTAAATAACATTCGTGGTGTGAGTAGAACTGAGGAAGGTTTGACTGTACGAACAGATGACAGACTATCACAGATCAGTGGTGGTGATGCAGTGGTGAATGTTAGTGAAGCTTCTGCTACTTCTGGACATATTACCCAGGCACCAATGTATCCTGGTCGCAGTGGAAGTGGCAGTGCCAGACCACCCACTGGTGGTAATTTTCAGCAATTTGGAGGTAATAGGTACAGTAGTAACCCCTCTTACCATGGTTATCAGAGTGGTCGTGGGTATTCAAACTTTCTTCCGCCATCAAGTTTCGACTCTCGTGGAGCACGGGCAGGATATGCAAACTATTTGAACAGTGGACCCCCGCTACCGTTCAGGAGTACTCCGCTCAGGTTTCGCGTGTCCCCAAGGTATCCTATCCGCAGGCCACTAATGCCCCCAGTCAGACCACAAATTCACCAACAGCAGATACAGCAAATACCTCCAAGTAATGTGGAAGAGTTCCATCCTGAACATGATAGCTCTGAAAATCAGAAACTTCACACAAGGCCAGAAGATGAAGACGAGATAGATATATATAGTGATATTGAAGTTGGGGGTGGATCTGGTAGTGGAGGGCGAGGGGGTGGAGGATCAGAACCTGATGATGGTGATAGAAGTGTGGAACTGGGTTATGAAGCCTTGCCTCCTCCTCCTATACCTCCAGCGATGCTCATGGGGATGGGTGGGGATCCAATGAGTGACGAAGAACCAGGCAGTGATAGTGAACTCGTGATAGATGACAACATTGCACCGTCTTCTCCTCCTGACAGCTCAGATCGATATGATCCAGAAGAAGCTACTGGTAAACCAGAAATACCAGAATCTGAGAAGTATGATCCTGCAGAACCATCAAATGACACTGATGAAGAGGAAGAGGCTGCCAAAGCCATTATCCCTACTCTTCCTCCTCCCCCTCTGCCTCCTCTTCCTGACACTTGTGCTGCAGCGAGTAGCTCCCATCTCATTGCTCATTCCTCATCCAATTCCAGTGCAAGCTACTTGCGTTCCCCAACCTATGGAGATAGTTCTGTGTTGGGGTCTGATGCGAAACTCACTGTTGACAGTGTCTCACAAGCTGTGCAAGAAGTTTTGAAAGATCGTCTCACAGAAGTCTCTTCCATTGTAAGTAGGGAATTGGGGGCTATTGCTGATGAGCCTTCAGAAAGACATTCATCAGTAGATGATGATGAGGAAGGTGAAGAGTGCCCAAATTTTTCTATTTACTCGGCAGCAAGCATGGATATAGCTAGAAGGGCTGGAGAAGATGACGACATTCCTGTTCCCAAGGTCAGTATGGATTCTGAAAGGGCTGAGGATGCAAGAACTGATAGTGATGATGAGGCAGAAGATAAGAATTGCCTACAAGATGTTGAAGATGAGAATAGTAATCTCAGCAATGGTGAAGAATTGACTAGTCATCAGAGAGACTCTGACAGTTCTGCCCATAAAAGGAAAGGTCCCAAAACTGCTGCAGGACAAGAAGCTGAACTGCCTGATAATCCTGAAATCGTTGATATGGATGAGGAAAATGAGAACTGGAAAGTACATAAAGTGGCTGATAAGATTCAAGAACCAGAAGCTATAGTAGGAATTAAAAAATTAAGCTTAGTAGAAGAGATCTTTGGATCAGATGATAATGACAGTCTTATTGGAGGAGCAACATCTGCAGTTTCAGCAGCTACTGTGGACAATGTTCCTCAGACCTCTGTGACTCCACTGGGTTTGGAGGGCCTCGATACAGAGACCATATCAGAAACGGAAGAAGCTATCAACTTTGAAGATGACCTAAGTCAGGAAGATGGTTTCTTGACTGCAGAAGAAGATGGTGAAATTCCTTGTGTCAAAAAGAAAAAGAAGAAGAAAAATCGCAAGCCTTCTCTTGGAGGCAGTGCTGGTGACGAAGGTACATCAGCAAAAGATCACACTCCACAGGATGTAATAGATTATGAAGAAGGTGAGATTGTTGATGACAGGCCAAAACTGCATGAAGCAGTAAAGAAGGATAAAAGGATATCAGAAAAGAAAGAAAAATTGAAGTATGACAAGGACATTCAAAAGAACGCTGATGAGAATTTTGATATAACTGCTAAGACCAAAGTAGTAATTTCAGAAGAAGAGAAGAAAAAGAAGAAGAAAAAGTCTGTTGCTGACAAGATCAGAACATCAAAAGAGAGGGCAATACTGAGCAGTAGTGAAAATAAAGATAAAGTCAAGGAGAAATCCAGTAAAGGAGATGATGCAAGTATAGCTTGGAAAAAGTTATCAAAAAGTTCCAAAGAAAGAAATTATCGTGATGCAAAGTCAAAACCTGATTCCGAACCTTCAAAAGGAAAAGAGGTGGGTAAAAAGAAGGATGCTGCAGGTAAGGATGGTGCTGGTAAGAAGGAGAAGAAGAAGAAAGAGAAACGCAAAGACATGGAAAGATATGATGTCCGTAAAATTGTTACTGATAAAAAGCGAAAACGCAGAGATGCGTTTGGTCGTGATTTATCCAGAGAACGATCATATACAAAATCTCGATCTAGGTCACGTGGAAGATCATATGACAGGTCCAGAGGAAGGTCAAGATCACTATCCAGGTCCAGAGTAACTCGATCTAAAGGAAGGTCACCACTGAAGTCAAGAATTAGATCACGCAGTAGGTCCAGGCTCAGGTCAAGAAGTAGATCTCGAATTAGATCAAGAAGTCGATCCAAGACTAGGTCAAAAGTGAAATCCAAGGATAGATTGCGGAAAAGTAGATCTAAAGAGAAACAGCGTTCAAGAGTTAGTAGAAGTAGGAGCAGGGGCAGGAGGACTCGATCCAGGAGTCAGAGCAGATCAAGAAATAGGTCACGTCTAAGATCACGAAGTAGGTCCCCTGTACGATCCAGAGATAGAAGAGACCGAAGCCGCGACCGGAGAGATTCACAAAGATGTAGGTATCGAGACAGAAGATCCTGGTCTCATTCATGGACTCCATCTTGGTCACGATCTCGTTCACTCTCCTGTTCGTCATATTCCCAATCTCACACTCCATCTCCTAGGCGCTTTAATCGCTCCTATACCCATTCTTTCTCACGGTCATGGTCACGAGAACGAAGTGAAAGAATTTCTGTTATTGAGAAAAAATCAGGAGCAATTTCAAAAACCGCCAAGAAATTAACTGTGATTGTTCCTAACACTAAGGATGATTCAGAGAGACATAGAAAGAAAGAGAAAAAGAAAAAGGAATCAAAGAAAAATAAGGAATTAGTTACTGCTGTAGAAAAGAGGAAGAAGAGAAAGGAAAAATCTCCTGCTCCTTCAAAAGAAGTGTTCACGTCAGGAGATAATATTTTGGTTAGTGTAAACTTCAAATCCAATAAAAGTGCTGGTAGCAAAGATGTGTCAGCTACCAGTGCTGCTGTTGCAGTAGCAGCTAAGGATCCATCAAAAAGGAAACAACATGATGGTTCCTTTGAAATGGACAGAGAATCAGCAAAGAAACTTAGGAAAGATAAAGGTAACAAAGAAAAATCTTCACCACGTCAAAAAAATGGTGGTATTGGTGGTGATAAAGCCACAGTTCGTTCTGGGGAGAAGAAATCCAAAAAGGGTGCACAGAAAGCTGGAAATAAAGCGTCAAGAGTAGCAGCCCTCATTAACAAGAAACCTGTTGCTATTATAGACCTAGACCAGTCACCCTTTCATGAGCAAACACCATCCCCAACAGATCTCATAGTTTTGAGTGACAGTGAGGAAGAAGGCATGGCTAAGGAGAGCGTCAGAGAAGAACTGGATGATTCATTGAATAGCCATAGAACTATGAGGCCAAGCAGTTCCAGCCCAAAGTCTTCTTCAAAACAAGGTGTTAGTACTGCTCCAAGTAGTACAATAGCGCGTACCCCCGAATCTCAATCACCACCAATGAATGCAGTTGGTAGCTACCTTGTAACTAGCACAGGGCCCAAAACTCCACCTGAGCCACAAATCAAGTTCTCAATTGCAGCGAAACCACAGCTACGATCTATTAACAATCCTTTGAGAGAAGATGAAGAGGACATGTTGGCTGAAGAGGCTGGGCTTGATGATTTAGAAGAAAGGATAGAGGAGGAGTTGGATAGGGGGCTTGACAGGGGATTGGGGGAGATGCTTCATAAAGGTCCAAACACACCCCCCGAACCACGTGGTCCAACAACCCCATGTTCTCCACCCACTTCTCCTGATGCATATGATCCATTTGATCCTACAAAATCTGGGACACCATCTCCAGTGGGGGCTTGTGCCAGCATGGATGGCCCTCCCAGTCCTGTCCATACACCCACAGAACAGATGATACAACACAGTGTAATAGATCAGGAATCTCCTGTGGTTAGTGATTTAGAAGATCTAGCCAGTAAGTCTTTGGAAGCTAGGGTGACAACCCCAACAATGGTCTCTGCAGAAGATGTAGCAGATCAGTCAAGTCAGTCTCCAGAAAGATCGAAGATGTCTGTGCGAGGTGATACAACTGTGGCAAGCTCACCTTCCATAGTACCTGAAACGACATCTTTGCCTCCTCCAGTATCAAGCGATAATGAAATTTCTCAGCCCTGTGAAATGGCTGAAGGATCAGAGAAGTCAAAACAGATATCAATGACTTTGCCTCCTCCAGGAGCATCAATTACGTTAATTGATCCTAACACTGCTCAGTCACCAGAACATAGTATTCCAGTAGTAATAACTTCACAGCAACAAAATATACAGGGAACTCCAGTGAAACCCCAGCTTTTTCCCACCACAAATGTGAAGCAGGTAACTCCACAGCAACCCATAACTTCCACGCCAACACATTCTGCAGCTCCTGCTCCAGTATTTCCAACTCTTACACCAGCTAATTTAGCAAGTATTCTGTGTACACCACCACCATCAACCTTACCTCTAAGTCGAATGACTTTGTTTAACCCTCCTACCATGACAGTTCCCCAACTGATGGTACATCATCATCCACAGCAGCAACAACAACAGCAACAGCAGACTCCACAACAGCATCATCTTATTGGTTCACCAATTATTGTGCAGCAGAGGCCAATACCTAGCATTGCAAGAACTACACCTGAAAAACTGGTTCCTCCATCTGCAAAGCTTCCTCCAGTCAGAGCAACAACAGTGCAGAATGGGGAGCAGCAGACACAGGTTTCACAAAAACAGCCTCAAGATACAACAACAGACGTAGTAGACATGGACCTTGAGTCGCCATATTCACCTGGATCCAGTGAAGGAGATGATCTGTTTGATCCACCAACAGATATGAAATCAAGTGGTACAGCCACGTCATTTACTGCCATGGGTAATCGAACAGTGCCACAGACTGCTAAGAACTTAAATAAATTCCCACCACCACTTGCAGCAATGCTCCATAAATCTCCTAGTAAGCCTCCTGCCAATCAAGACAAATTTGATTCTATATTTGGTCTTTCACCTCTGCGTGCCGGCAAAACGGCTCCTGCCCGAACACCTGGACGAACCACTTCCAAGGCTCATCATGTTAAGGGTAGCAAAGCGAAACTAGGAAAGCATGACAAGAGCAAAAGTGAGTACAGTATCCTTTTTCCCCCTTATCTTTAATTTATGTGGCAGTTTATATAATTAACTTACCAATGTCTGGGTACATGGATCCTGTGCACCTGAAAAGATTTTGCAGGTGAAGGTGGTACTCAACAATATGTGATCAAGTGGTCTGTGAAATCAGGTACACTGTTAAATAAATTATGAGTGTGCAAACACTGATTTTTGAAACACTCCCTGTTACAAAGTGTACAGTCACTGTATATCCTTACTCAGATATCTTAGAAACCATATATTCAGCTCAAAACTTTATTTATTTTGTATAGTTTATTCAGCTTCGATGGTGGTCATTCTGTGTAGTGTTGAATGGTGGGATGATTGATGAACAAGATTTTAAAGGTGTAATCCATATTGGAATACACACAGTTTTCATATGTTTTCTTTGCATCTTTGGATTCAGAATTCTCCAGCCATTACATCAGATTTATGAACATGTTAATGTTATTAAGTAAGTAGTAAAGACAACACCACACGCTGTGGAGGAAGCACACAAACCAGGGGCATATGGCAGTCATAACTGAAAAGTAGGCTACGAACGTGAGGGGCAAGCTGCCGAAACAAAACACCCTGGACAGGAATGCATTTATGAACAATGGACGACACCCCATGTGAGGTGAAATAAAATGGACCAAAATAACGTGGGTATAATAGAAACTTTAAAGGATTTTATCTGGTTTTACCTTGAAAAGAGAACTACAGCATGTGATTTTAACATGGACTAAGACTGTAGCAGTTTTAACATAATTGAATAAAATATTTGTAACATATCAAGACACCTGAAGATGGCTGTTTGGGGCTGAAACATGTAGTGTCAACGTGTATAATGTTAAATTAAAATTAAGTAGTGAATAAACGAGTGTTCCAATAATGACGGACGATAAATACATGGATGTTAAGTTAAACAATTGCAACAGGATGTTGAAATACAGAGTTATTAAGTATAATTTATTTACTTTCAGGGACATTCGGTTTGTTACATATAACATGAAAAATTTGTACCATCACCATGTTTGTAATTGCTGCCTAGGAAGTATTAATGCAGAAGTTAATAGGCATGTGTATGATCTCTCTCCATATCAAATTTAACATCCCATAAAGTGGTCAATGGACGTGGTGCATGTTAAATGCAGCCCCTGTTGAGATCAGGCTTCACACTCAGAAACTTTGGCAGGGATAAGGGTTTGTCTTAGTTGGGCCTTTACCCTGCACCTAATATGATAAAGCAGTACCAAGTCACCAATTTGGAGAAAAGACCAAGCCAAGCAAACTTATGACCCTTCCCACTAGCTTACTTTCAGTTTCAATCCAGGCCGCAGGTCAGTTTGGTCCTGTGTTACCTCAGATCCTGCTGATGGGGGCAGGGATCGTCCCTGAAATGTTGTACTTGTTAACCAACTTACATGGCTGATGGCCCAAGATTTAATTATCAGCCAACGTAAAAGCCTCATATTATTTGCTGTAATTCACATGTTTTCCAGAATCAGCTCTTCAGCACGATGAATGTTCACAGTTGTTAGCTAAACATGAGCATGTGATTGGTTAGTTACTTCTTCACAGCGTTCAGGGAAGTTGTTGCATCAGTCATACCCATTGGTACATGGTTAGGGTTTCTTTTCCATACTGTGGTCTTGGCCTATCTAGATCTTCAGCTAATTTCTTTCTCTAGAAATTTAATGACATTGGTGTTCTACTCTCAGAGTGACAGGTTCTGACGAAATCTTGTACTGCCTCTAATGTGCAGACTTGGAGGGCATGGTCACGTGTGTAGACATAGAATACTTCTTCCACCATATACCTCAAAGAGAGTTGTTTCCTTGTTCTGGTGTGACATTTGTAGAAAAAGACTGAAGTGCAGGTCAACATTGAAACACACATATTTATAGGTTCTCTGTAGTCAGAGGGAAATGTTCAAAGGAAGGCAGGCATCGTAAATTTTTTCTATAACTTGCTTACTGTTGTTCCTGTCAGTGCAATACAGTAGTTCAGTTTTGGTACGAATACTTGAATTTAAGAATTCATGGTTGTACGTAGGGCCAATAGAATGTACAGTGTGATCTACTCATATAATTAATAACAAAATAGCGAGTCCATATGCTGTTTTAAAAAATGTAGTGTTGTGATCTGTATTACAAAAGGTTCCTGGTAGCACAGAAATCCTTTATATAAGCCCTATAACACTGTAAGTGGCTGTTTTGTTCGAAAGTACAGTGACTCCACGAATTTGAGTCTCATTTTGAAGATTGCATGATGAATCTCCACTGCTAGAAATATGTTTCAGTTTAATGATAGTAATATTGCATATGTCTTAGTAATTTGCTTTTTTTCTTTATTTTTAGGCAGCAAAAAAGAAATTTCAATTAAGATGGATGAAGACCAACTACAAATTTTAGATGATTTGCCCAGCTCTGCGGTAGAATTGCAGGTGAAGGACAAGGTATATAAATATTGGGGCATGCTTTTCTTTTCTTGCACACCTTTTTCTGCCAACCCCACATCTTTTTAGTCATCCAAGAATAGTAAAATGCAGTTGTTTTGATCGTAGTAATTTCCTCTTAGGGTCCATAAATTATTAATTTATTTAGCTTGAATTTCAGAGTTGCTGTCATTTAAATTTTTATGCAAACTGTGAAATGTTCGGTATTAATGTTTTACTTACAATCAGTTTTTTTAAATTGACTGAAGTTAGTGACTGACATGACATTAACAAAGAATTGGAAAATCTTGTCAGTTTGTGTTAAAAAGACAGGCATCATCTGAACAAAGGTAAACCTTATATTATTTTTAATCTTCTGTTTGTTGTTGATATAATTGTGTGAAACAGCAGTGTTAGAGCTGTACTAAATTGGTGTTTGGCTTCCATTGTGATGAGAGCTAATATACATTTGGAGCTAGGCATGTGAAATCATATAGAATTTAAATTATAAGCGTACCTGTGTATTTTATATTGCCATGTGTAGGTGGGTTAACCGCCATGGGGATCCATTGCGCTGACCATGCAACACCCTCTGTCTGCAAAAGTTGGCATTAACTTCGCCGACAAGCAGCAGTTGCACAGTCGGTATAGTTTGCTTGCGGACTACAGGCCACAGAGTCCATTCATTCATTCATTCATTCATTCTTGTGTAGGGGTGTGCGTATGACTTATAGATGGATTTTGGATTGGATGATTGGATTTATTGACACCTTATCCACTCCTCTTGGAACTGCAGGCAATTACAGCGCTATCACTATTCCCACATTTTACAGGTCACTGTTACACACACTAGTGCCCTCAGTCTGTTACACTCTCCACTCGTCTTTTCCTGGCAACGGATTCATAACAATCTCACTGTAACTTCAAATCACGCATGAAATCTTCTTTGCAAAGCCTAATTCCTTTCCTGCCATTATTCTGTATCACCTTTGACTGCCAACTCTCAATTCTCTGCTGCAGCTGCCAACTCCGGAACTTGACTCAATTCTCCTCAGCTAAACTTTTCATTATAACCTCTTTACATGGACTGAACAGAAAACACCATTTCCAACAACCCCTGTTGTCGTGTGTTTACTGATCTGTTGCTTAGAAACAAGTTCTTCTTTTGTATGCATATTCATTGCCATGGAAATGCATTGTATACGAATATATATTGAAGGAAAGTAGGCACCATGAGCTCTTCCAAGAACGTCTTGTATGGTTGTATGCCTATAAATTGGGAGGACATTTTAGTTTACAGTCTGGTGGCCAGATATGGAATTTAAGTGATATATCTATATCTGTAAACGAAGATAATCTTTCTAAAAGGAAGGTGTTAACATAGGTATGTTTGCCATGTTTCCTTGCTTCATATGTCCAGTTTCTAGAGATGCTGGATGGTATACATGCTGTACATGGATTGTGCATGGCATCAGAACTGGTCCCACACCCCCCTCTGAAAGAAGTAATGAAATTTTGATGGCCAATCAGTATAACACCTTGGCTATGGGCTCAACACGTGAGGCCTGCCCAGCCTCCTATCGAGTAGGTACCAGGAGCTGTTTTCCCTTTGGGGAAGGTTGTTAAAGCGGTTGGGGAGTGAAGCTGACTACTCACCTTTCATCATCATCAGTAATCTGTCGGACGACAGGTCCACAGTCTCTTCCAAAACAAATCCTCCACTTAATGCAATCTAGAGCTTTCTCCTTCAAATGACAGTATCCTCTTCTGTCCCCAAGGTCATCCAGCATCTTCTTACGTCTTCTTCCTCATCATCTTGTCACTTCTATCCCCCCCTCTGTCTTTCCTTCAATAACTTCTTTTAGAAGGCAGTTTCTGCGTAAAACATGACCAATCCATTTAGCCTTCCGTTTTCTTATTTCGTGTAGGATATTCCTCTGCTCACTGACTGTAATTAACACTTCTTCATTTCTTACATAATCGGTCCAACTGATCTTCTCCATCCTTCTCCAACACCACATTTCGAAACTTTCCAGATGTTTCTGATCTACTGCCCTAAGTGTCCATGTTTCAGCCCCATACAGAGCTATGCTCCAAATGTAGCATTTCACTAGTTTCTTCCTCAAATTTAAGTCCAATTTGCTGGTAAAAAGATTCTTCTTCTTGCTAAATGCAGCTTTTGCCATGGCAATCCTGGATTTAATTTCACAAGTANCTATCTAGTACAAAGTGTAAAATGCTGGTGGAGCTGTATTTCCACTTTTTATATGTTTTCATACTGTGGTACTTCACTAAACAGGGGTGTAACTTCTTTACTTTTTGCAGAATACAGTTTACATACATACTGACTCCTGGCATATGTTCAAAATTGTTTTATTCTAAGAACTCTGAAATTTTCATTTTAATATTAGCAAGAATTTGTATGTGTCAAGAGTTCTGTTTATTGCATGTACGAGTAAATTGAATATTGATTTTTCAAATAGTAACACAGTGCCTTTTATTTGGGTAATATAAAGCTGTATGTTAAAAAGATTTTACTTCATAATGTGTCAGTAACTTTATAACTGAGCAGACAAACAGTGCTGGAAGAAAAGAGGCCCATCGCTGTTGAGATATCAGTGTAGTTTTGATGGAGATTATGGTTGTCTGGAATGTAATGCCTCATTGTCTGATAGGTCATTGTCAGAATTTCAGAGGAACCTGCTGCCTGACGTCAGAATAGAAAAAGCTGGTATGGATACAGGGAGAAGGAGCAGTAGGGCCCAGAATGAACCATAAGGAGTAAAGTAACCAGTGGAAAGAATATTTGACTCTTTATAAAGGGTCATTTTCAAAAATAATTTACAGAATAGCATTTACATTTGATACAAGCAAAGTATGTTTATTTAGCCACATATTTCATTATTATTTACTTGGTTTTAATGGCATTTTGGCATCTGTTGTTATTCAGCATTCCAGAATCAAATATTTGAACATACTGTACTTGCTAAAAGGAAAAGGAAGCATGTAAATGTAAGGGAAAAGTCATATCGTACATGAAAAAGGAAGATAGTATAAAATATTTTGCCTGATGTGAACTTTTTGATGTAATTATTTTGAAATAAATTGTATAAATTGTATCCTCCCTCCCCTTATATTGACTTCAACAAAAATGCAGTTTTGCAGAATTATTTTCAAGGCAGTTTTCCTCACCTTTCTCTCCCTCCCTTGCTTAATGTTTTCAGTCACAGTTACACTGTTTAACGTGGAAGACAATTTGCTCTCTATATATGCACCTTTCTCCAGTTTTACTGAAGCTTTGGTTAAGGGTTTTGTTCAGATGAATGAAACGCTTAAATTTTTATGCCAGTACCAGTTGCTTTGCATGTGACTAATAAGCTTTCTATGTCTGAAATGTCTACAGCTTGAAGTATATGTAGGCATAATCTGTGGTACTATTTATCTGTGTTTTTATGATCACTGATCTCACAGTTATGTTGATAGTTCTTTCTCTGTGAGATTTAAGACTGTCGTAGTGGTGAATATTAAGGTCACAGTCTTCTGGAATGTGATGCTTTGTAGTTTGATAAATAGGTACCAGTCCTTGTACCCTGAAGATAGAGCAGGTTCCTCCAAAGTGTTCATACATATGTATACTACCACAGTGAATAAGTTCGTGGAATGGCCACAAAGCATTGTTGCAGTGCACTACAGCAGATAGGTTGAGGCATGATATGATGCCCTGTCAGTTCACCTCTTGTCACAGCAAGAGGCAGTTGTGTTCAAAGAGTGTAAGTAGAACTGCGACCTCTATTGTGAACTGCAGTTAAATGCAAGTGGCATAAATAAAAAATGTGGCAGTTTGAACAACGGGCAAACATCAAGTTCTGCCAAAAACTAGGCAAATCCCCTAGCGAAACATTTGGCATAGGAAGAACTGGCTGTTGCTACACGACAACGCCCCTACACATCGCTCTGTTCTTGTCCAAGGGGAACTGACAAGGCACCAGGTCACCTTTTTGCCATACCCTCCATACTCACCTGATCTCGCACCATGCGATTTCTTACTCTTTCACCACTTGAAAGCAAAGCTACGTGGTTGTAGATTTCAGTCGTCCGAGGAGGTGGTCATTGCCACAAGAGACACCGTACGGGAATTTCATGCCAATATGTTTCAGCAATGTTTTTGGCAGCTATATCAACGTTGGCAGACTTTCATAGCGGCCAATGACAACTATTTTGAGGGCCGATGTGGATCTGTATAAGTGTATGTGAATACCTTGTAATATGATGTGATAAAACCACATTCCACGAACTTAATGACTCTACCATATGTATGTATATCACACTACACAGGGTCACTTCCCAGAATGACTTAATTTTAGAAGTTGTTCTTTCTGTTTCATAACATCTCTAGTAAATAGTTCTATCTTCTGTGATATAGTGAAATGTACAACTGTGCTTGCTGCCTGCTTTATGCTGTTTTCTTATTTGGTTCACTATTCAACCCTGAAGATGGAGACATTATTTTCCTTCACTGTGTTAGGCAACTTTTGTCAGACTTCACAGTGTTGTAACTCAGAAGATAGAACTCTTCATAGTGCCACTGCTGTGAGAACCTCAAATCCAACATCTGTATTGTTTATACCATTATCATAAAATTCATACAGATTTAAAAAATGGTACACGTAACTGTTGGAAGAGGCTTTGAGAATCCATGACAAAGAATTTGTGGGCCCCTGATTGAGAAACCTGTCATAGTGTTTTATTCATGCCAAAAATGAAATCTCTCCATTACCCCTCTCCTCTCTTATCTTCTTTTCTTTTTCCTTCTTCCATCTCCACATTCATGCATTATCTCCAGAAACTTTTACTTAATTCTTCTACTTCTGCGAGAGTTCGGAATACATAGATACATTGTCTTCTGCATAAACTGTATGGAGTTTGTTAAGCACTCTTTTCTCACTAAGTGTTGTGTGCAGAGTTCACATGTTAGAATGAATACACAAGCAATTATCCATAATATCTGTTATTGTTATGCAATATTTATGTTCCCCACTATTCGATTGAGTTCTTAGACATAATTATTTCAGCTTTTTCACATGGGACATGTCACATTACATGCAAGAAAGTACATACAGTGTATTGTCAATTTAACGGACTCACTGGGGGGGGGGATGTCTAATGTTGCCGAATGTTTGTGTTCCTCACAAACGCTTGTGACAGATGCTCCAAATTCTAATTTTTCAGTCAATTCTAACTTTTGTTTTACACTTCAGTTTGTCCCCCCCC